AAGCCTGGGCCTTGGAAGCTTCTGGCCCGAAGGCTCCCCCGACGGAGGCTGACCTGGACCCTGCCACCAAGTGATGTCCACATCCCCCTTGGGCTCCCAACAAGTCCCCGAGTCACCATTATCTCTTGGCTTCAACTTGCACCATGTTTTCCTTGGGGTTGGGACAAGGGAGGGGGGAGGGACCAAATGCCAACAGAAAACCCTCAATAGCCGCCTTCGCCGAATGCAGCCGTGACCCTGGGCCCCGCATCCCCTTGGCCTTTTCTGTGTGTTTGTGAAGCCCTTTTAGTCACATTCCCACAGACATGGATGTCTTCCAGCCCCCAGGGGTCGCGGAAGATAAGCAGCCGTGTCATGGGAAGCATTTGGACTCACAGAGTCTGGAAAATAGATGAGAAGTGAGTGGGCAGAGGTGAGCAGGGGGCAATGGCCACAGGGTCCTTGGCCAGACAAGGAAATGAGGCTGTTAGACATCAGCGCCGTGGTGCGTGGATGGTCTGCCGGACAAGAAGAAGACATTCCTGCCCCCTGACTTTGAGCAAAGAGGCTGGTTAGAACCAAGTTGTGTGCTGGGGGAGGGGAGGTGGTCAGCAATTGCTTATCTATTTAATGTGAGATTAGGTGACCCCATCGGTTCGGTTCTCCGTCAGGGCACATGCCCGGGTTGTGGGCTCCATCCCCAGTAGGGGGTGTGCAGGAGGCATCCGGTTCCATGTTTTGCTCTCACGTCCATGTTTCTCTCTCTCCCTTCGTCTCTCTGTAAAAATCCATTTTTTAAAAATGCACGGTTAGTCTTCAGTGTGTGGAATTAGCAACCAAGGCCTACCTTCGTGACTGCATAGGCCACCACCCTCATGTTACACCTGAGGAAACTGAGGCCCGGAGACCCGAATGGCATGGCTGTTGTTAGGAGGCAGAGCTGGGCTGAGGCGCAGGACCATCGAGTGTTCATCAAGGCCATCTGTGCCATAGGACTCCTTACTGGTGCCACTTATGCCCACACCAACCACATGATCTCAGAGGAGTCATGGAATCCGGGGCCTCTGGTCCCTTATCTGATAGCCGAGGCCTCGGGACCACATGACCTTGGAGCTGCCTTCCAGAAACAACATTCCAGGATGCTCTGTTCCCCTTCCCACCCAGGACATGGGGTGGCCCGGCCTCCCGGCCAGCAGGCACTTTTATCTCCATGGTCTAAGCCAGTGGTCGGCAAACTCATTAGTCAACAGAGCCAAATATCAACAGTACAACGGTTGAAATTTCTTTTGAGAGCCAAATTTTTTAAACTTAAACTATATAGGTAGGTACATTGTTATTAACTTAATTAGGGTACTCCTAAGGCTTAGGAAGAGCCACACTCAAGGGGCCAAAGAGCCGCATGTGGCTCGCGAGCCGCAGTTTGCCAACCACTGGTAAGCAAGAGTCTTTTTTTTTTTTTTTTTTTTTGCCACAGCAGCAGACCTGGGTCACAGTGGAGGACTCTTGAGATTCCCAGGCTTCTAGGCTACTGGTTCCTTCCTTTTGACCAAGGTCAAAATAGGAAGGGATGGCCTCCCTCCACCCCCAACCCCTCCGTGACTGTCGCCCCAGCCCCAGCCTCATGCTCCGTATCTGAGACGCAGAAAGGCAGGTACAAGCAGATCTCCGGAGCCAGATGACCTGCACCCTAGCCCTGCTCTGCGCCTGCCCTGGGGGGGCCTCTGCCTCTGGCAGTCGTCTGGCCTCCCCTTGCCTCTCGGTGGGGATACTAACAGCTCTCACCTGGTGGGGGTGAGGACAGGATGAGTTTGTTTGTGTAAAACACCCAGAGCCTGGCACACAGTAGGGCTGCACAGTGGTGGGTATCACTGTGGCCGTCGCATAGTGTATCCAACACACGTGGAAAAATGCTTCCCTTTGGTGACCCTGGCCAGAGACTGTGCTGCTCCGTTTTAGCTGAGGGAGCGTCACGAGAGGATTCGGGGTCTGAATCCTAACCGTGCCGCCATCAGTCTCCCTTTGAAAGAGGACCACCCGGAACCTCCCGGAAAAAAACGCCGCCTTCCCAATTGAAGTGATTCCCACGAAACCACAGTTGGGAGCACAACTGGCTGAGATTTCCATTCACCACAAACTCCGTCTCCACTCCCCTTCTCCAGATGCCACGGCGGCCGATCAAATGTCACATCGATCACATCATGTCACCGTCATCCCCCTGTTCCCAGGCCGCCCCGGAGACTCCCGGGGCAGGAAGGGAACATGAGGTTCGGAGCCAGGTCTCTGCTCTGTGGTCTCGGGTTGCTCCTCACCCCGTTGCCCCGCCGTGCCCAGCTCCCTGCCCTCTGGGCTGGGGTCTTGTGGGGCTGGTGGTGCCAGGACCCGCCCCCCAAGCATGTTAGTGAAACTGGCTGACGTGGGGCGCTGCTCCCACACTTTCTCTCCTGGGTTAGAAACCCAAAGCGCCCGTTTGCAGAGCCAGGAGGAGCTCTGCCCGCCTCCCTGATTGTAATTAGGACGAAGCCTCCCGCAAGACTCGGGGGTTCTGTTGTTCTGAACCCAGACCGAATGTGTTTGGGTGGCCGGGCCTGATCATCTTGGCAGAGGACTGTACGCCACAGGCGGAGGGGGGCCATTTTCCGTGGCGTGCAGCAGCCGTCCCCTCCAGAAGACCCACATGCTTCAGGGTGAAAAGTGATTCGATGAAGAACATGAGCACACAACTCAAATTCTCCAAGGCTCGATGAGCAACATGTTTTCTATCGGCCACATGCTATGGATGCCTAAATAGAGAGCAACCCCCACATAAGCCAATCGCCACTCCCCTAATTGAGGTGAACTGAACAAACTTTTTTGGCCAACTTCATAGAAATCAAAACTGTGCTGGCCTTTCAGGTGGGGGGTGGGAATTGACTTTGGAAAGGGGCCAGAGGGAACTTTCTGGAGTGATGGACATGTCCTCTAGCTTCATGGTGGTGGTAGTTATGTGAGTGATTTCAGTTGTCAAAATTCATCAAACCGAACCCTTAAGATGTAGTTGGTTGAGCATCGTCCTGTGCACCAAAAGGTTGCCAGTTCGATTCCTGGTCAGGGCATATGCCTGGGTTGCAGTTTGGATCCCTGATCAGAGCGCATTTGGAAGGCAGCCCGCCTCTCTCTCTCTCTCTCTCTCTCTCTCTCTCTCTCTCTCTCTCACACACACACACACACACACACACACACACACATACACACACACATACACACACACACACACTTTCTCTAAAAAAATCAATGGGAAAAATATCCTCAGGTGAGAATTAAGAACAACAAAAAAGAGTAACATTGATTTATACCATCCTTCCCATTCACACATTTCACAAAATGATGTTATGTACATGTACATTTTTCAAGATCAGTGCCCATTACTAAGCCACTTTTTAGTTGACAGTTTTCCAGAGCCTGTCGTCTTCAGTCTGTCCAATTTATTTGAGATACAGAACATTTTGGATCCATGTTTAGTGCTGAAATTTCACTGAAGGACACCCCCATTTGTGTAACATTACAGCCCTGTGTTCCTCGTTCGTCTGATAAGTAATCACGATCCACACTATAGAAGCCACTTACTTGTGTTTTGCTTTCTGAAATGAGCTTTCCAATATTTATCACAACTTACAACAATTGCACCCCAGGAATAATCACCGATTATGTATTAAATCTCATTGCTTCCTTCCCATTAATCCCCTCCAGTGACTTCTGAAAGCCTCCAAAACCAACTGATTAAAATATTTCAGGCCGGTGTATCTTCCCAGGTTTTGTGGTTCAAATAAAGTAATTGAGAAAATACCGAATTATGAGATACTTTTAAAGAATAATAAGTCGTAAACTGTGAGATATTTGTAAAGGGAACACTCTTTCCTAATAATCCACTTGAGGAAATATATCTTCCTCTCATTTATGTTCAGGCCTATACTACAGAGTAAATCCTGGCGTATGTGTTCAGACCAAAGATAAAATAGAGATTAATTTAGCAAATTTGGGGGTCTTATTTTATAGTTCATTACTAAAGGATTAACATTGTTAGCTTACATTAGAAGTTTCTTTATGTAAACATTTTAAACTAAACCTACCATGAATGAGAAGTTGAAAAATTATTCAATAAATTCAAAGCAAACACTGTATCGTACTCCAGGGCATTAGAGATAAGAGAGTTTAAACAGATGCTTCTGGTTAGGGGTGGAATTGTAAACACAATCCTAAATTATGAGTTGTTAATTATTAATTTTGCTACTTGGCCTTAAGCTTCAACCAGTGTGATATGATACTACATAAAGACCTTGTTTTTTTCTTCAGCAACTCCTCAACGTAGACATTAAAAATAACTTTGTTCTTAGAGAAATCAACATGGAAGAGGGTACACCGTTGTTTTGGGTTTCTATTGGTTTTCATGTTCTGTTGCTCGGCACCATTGCTGTTGCTGCCAGAGGCAAAATCAGGTGGCTGCAAGACACGAGAGGGTTGTATAGCACCCTAGGGGTTCCATAGAACACAGTTTGAAAACCTCTGGCGGTGGACTATAAATAAAGGTTGGGTCTCAGAAGACCCGGGTTCAAAACCTGTATTTTGGACTCGGTGATTGTTGGCAAGTGACTTAACCCGAGTCTCATTTTCCTCCTCCGGACAAATAGCATGGATGCTTATCTCTTGGAGTTGTACTAAAAGTGCTTGTAAATGTGCCTTGGAAACCATCAGGTGTAGGTCTGTGTTGTTCCTTAAGACGTTCTGTTTCCGAGGCACATCTCATGTGCATGTTGAGTGCCATCTCCTCTCAATTATTTAAGGACTGAGACCCACACTTTCTGTTGTTTGGTCATGTTGATGCTTCTACCTCTGCCTCGCAGCTTTCCCCCCTTACTGTCCACTGGAGAATGGACAGGGGGCAGGCTGGCTTTGGGCTTGGCTGCTCCCACCGCTACAGTAAGAGACTCCCTGCTCACGATCCATTCTTGGGTGGGCCGCGCTGACAGACTTCTTTTCCTTTGCAGGTGGGCCAGGAGAAGGGAAACTGTTCCTTCCAGAAGAACCCGACCCCCTGCATCATCCCCCAGGAACAAGAAAATATCTTCCACACTATCTTTGCTTTCTTCACAAAGTCTGGGAGAAAAGTCTTGGTGAGAATTTGCTGTCTGGTTGGGTCCCGTGGGTGGTCCTCCCTAGGAAGGCAAGCCTGAGATGAGAGGCCAGTGCTCTGGTTGGCAGGTCTTCTTCCCCAAATCTGGCTTTAATCCGTTATCTTTGAAAGTCACAAGCACTGGTGGTCAGCTCCTGGTTTTCAGCCTGAGGTTTCCATCAAAGTGTTCAATTGACATTTCAAATTCCATTGCCCGGCAAAGGGAAAGCCTTTGTAACCCACCAAACACAGAGTAGTGAGTCCTTTCTCCACCGAGTAGGCGTCTCATCAAGAGGGATGCTCCTTGTACAACCACTTAGGAAAACTGCCGGGCAGTATCTGTTAAAGCTAAAGATATTGTATCCTGTGACCCAGGAATTCCACTCCCAGGTAGATCCCCAAGAGAAATGAGTACTTGTGTCCCCCAAAAGACGTGGACGAGAAGCACAGTCCATGTATGATAGCCAAAAGCTGGGAACAGTCCAAACATCCATCAACAGGAGAGTGTGTAGACGATTGTGGTGTCGCCATCCACGGGAGTATTACAGAGCAATAGAAACTGCTGCACGCAGCAGCACAAATGACTCTCCTATACATGATATTTGGGTGGCAGAGCTGGAGACCAGAAGTTTAGCAAGAGCAAAACTATCAGTGGCAATGGAGGTCAGGAGAGTGGTTACTATCGGAGGAATAGCCATGGGAGGGGGCCCTAGAGAACCTGCTTACGTGCTGGCCATGTTCTGCATCTTGATCTGGGTATGAACACAGGTAAAAATATATCAGGATGGACCCTCCAGATGCAATCTGTTGGCTGTTTGTAAATTACACCCCCATTTCTTATGCTTTTCCTAAGTCCCCTTCCCCCATATCTTTGGTTCCGTCTCCTTAGCTTCTTTTTGCAGCCTAGGCCCATCTCATACGCATTTCCGTTCCTGGAGAAGATGTAGGGCTGTTTGCCGCTTGGAATTTTGGGTGTGTGTTTTTCACTTACCTAGTGCTGATGATGCGCCTATTTTTTAAAGCGCTTAGAATTGTTAGGAGTAGTGATATCTAGCGGTTTGGTGCAACTCTGTACCAGGCTGAAAATTTTACCCCCCACATAAAGCATCATAAAGGTATGTGTGTACATTTTGGACCCTACAGTACAAAAGAGAATTTCTCGTTTGTAACTTGAATTTGGAATATATAGGTTTTGGGGGGGAGTTTTTTGGTGATTCACCTATTGTCTTGGCCCAACATGTGTTTTTCTTTGCTCCTGTGTTTTCTTGAGTCATATGACTCCTTAGCCCTCGAATCTGCCCTCCCTAAAAACATGGGCATGGAGTGTATTTGCTGCTGCACAGGCAGATATTCCATAATGTAGGAAATACATCTTGTGTTCATTTCTCACAAGGAAAATGCTTTTGGAATATGTAAATGTGTTTGTTTTTAAAAGCAATTATTTCCTTCTTGCAAAGTCCAATTTTTTAGTAACCAGGGAGCTGCTTTCTCCCAGTTGCTTGACTTGAAGGCCTGTTCTGGTGCCCAGTGGGCAGGAAATCCCTCCACTGCCCTCTGGTGGCAAGAAGGAGCGATCACATCTTCCCCTGCGGTTCCTCTGCCTGGAGTGGTCTTAGTCACCAGGATAGAAGCACCTGGAGCCTTCTGCTCCACAAACTGCCGGGCATCTGTCTTTGCTCTTATCGCCGTTGGTCAGTCCTCTGCTTTTCCTTCTCAGGACTGTGAAAAACCAGGAATCACTTGCCTGACAATGCACTGTAACCTGAGTGCCCTTGCTAGAGAGGAAAGTCGTGCTATCGACATCTACATGCTGCTGAACACAGAGATATTGAAGAAGGTAAGTCCTGAGCCACTGGACCCGCGAGGTTCACTGAAGAGCATCCGGATGGGTTCCTCCTGAAACGCTGCCTCCCGGTCTACAGCGTTCTTGGTCGGTGCCCGTGGGAATTCTGCCAGAGGGCGCCAGGGGAAAACACGGGGCTCGCTATTCAAAGTGTGGGCCAAGGACCCGCAACAGCACCTCCCCTGGGAGCTGGTTAGCCATGCAGAATCTTGGGCTCCGCCCCACACCTGCTGAGTCAGCACCTTCATTTGAACCAGCTTCTTGGTTCGCACATTTTTCTCTGGCTGTCGCTTGTGTCTGAGTCACCTGGAGACCTCGTTAAAATGCAGATTCCTGGGGGTGGAGCCTGAGATGCTGTAGTTCCGACAAGTTCCCTGGTGATGCCAATACTGTGGGTCTGGGGACCACATTTTAGACAAGGGGTTGGCAAACTTTCTCTGTAAAGGACCAATCTATATTTATAAAAAGCCAGCAACCAGAACACCAAAACGGCCAGTCGCTATGACACCCACTGCAACCAGCCAACCAGCCCAATCAGGGGTTCGGCCGGCCGGCCGGCCAACCTCCCACAGCCCCTCCCCTCGGCTGGCCCCAACCCTGATCAGCTCCTCCCACACCACCCCAATCAGCCCCACACACCTCTATTGGCCCACAGCCCCTCCCTCCAGCCAGCTCCGCCCCCAATCAGTCCCCCAATCACAATTGGGGGCCAGGCTGGCTGGCCAACTTCCCATGGCCCCTCTCCCCGGCTGGCCCACCCTCAGTCAGCCCCTCCCACCCCGATCGGCCTGTGGCTTCTCCCTCAGCCCCTGATCAGCCCCCATCGGGGCGGGCCAGCCAGACCCCACCCATGCACAAATTTGTGCACCAGGCCTCTAGTAGTAAATATTTGAGACCTGCAGGGCCATACAGTCTTTGACTACTGCTCATCTCTGCCATTGTGTCGTGAAAGCAGCCATAGGCAGTACTCAATCAAATGGGTGTGGCTGGGGCCCAGTGAAACATCTACAAAAACAGACAGAGGGCGGGGTTTGACCTGTGGGTGGTAGTCTGTGAGCCGGGTTTAGATGCCACCTTGTTTCAGAGAAGTCCAACTTTTAAACCTCAAGTCACTTTGCTATTGTGAGTTTATCCAAAGTGGTTCATAGCCCGGCCAGTGTGGTTTAGTGATTGAGCGTCGACCTATGAACCATGAGGTTATGGTTCAATTGCATGGATTGTGGGCTCGATCCCCACTGGGGGGCATGCAGGAGGCAGCCAATCAATGATTCTCTCTCATCCCTGATGTTACTCTCTCTCTCTCTCCCTTCCTCTCTGAAATCAATACAAATATATAGTTTCTAAGTTCATTAAAAAAATACCTCAGTCAGTGAATCAGCGGCCCTTAAAAAATCATACAAATTCACTCTGATTTATTTTGACAGAAGAGCTGCTGAGTACGAAAGGCCACATCCAACAAGATGCTTTAAAAATAATCACATGTGAAGATAACACTAAATATGCATGTTAACCACAGAGCGTCTATTTATTTTCCTTTGGAAAAACTAGACGTGTCAGTCGGCGTAAGCCCGTCCGTGTGCGAATGAACGTCCTTAGGAAAGTCATTCCAGGGGTATTTTCTCACTTAGGCATGGCAGTCCCACGCTGACCCGAGAAGTCACGGGCCCTGGGGAGTCAGGATGTTTCCCCACGTCCTGTGTGGAGCCGGGCAGCCCTCGCACACCCAGGGAGAGCCACCCACAGTCCCACTTGCTCTGGTTTCCTCGGGAGGGAAACGGGTTTGGGGCACATTGGGGTCACGCCGTAGAGCTTCCCTGTTGCCCCTGTCCCCTGAAAAGGGGCAGAGTTGTGAGAGGCCCGGGCATGAGTGAGAGCACCCCTGGCATCGCGTGATCCCAGAAGGGGGTCTGGAAGCCCCGCATCTCTGCAGATGCCTCCCTGGCCTGGGGCCCCAGGTCAGGTGACAGACTATGACGGTAGAGACATGTGCCCATCCTGTCTGTGTTCTTGACAAATGGGCCTGGTGACCGTTTTATCCCCCACTGTCGACCAAGCCCTGGTATTGGCACTGGTGGCGGGAAACCACTCTGATCCCCACTTCACCCTGAACCCAGGCGGCTGCCCCTTGCACTTCGGTCATTTGTCCTTAACGTACGGGCCAGGCCTCCAGCCTTCCTTGTACCCAGCTCTGCGGCCTGACCCTCTGCATCTCCCTCTCTCTCTGGGGTCCGTGGAGACCCTTTGCCAAGCAACATGTCCCACTGACTCTGTCCCCCAGGGTCACCCGGTCCAGTCTGCGCCCTAAGAGCAGAAAGCCAGCGGGTGGCTTCTGCGGGTGTTGGAGGGTCATCCTCCCTGCAGATGCTTTTTCAGCAGCAATTCCAGGCCTAGAAGGAGGCTGACCTGGAGGCCAGATGGGGCCCAGCTGCTCCAGGTGCTTGAAATGCGGTGTCGGGGCCACAGCCAGCCCCCCTGGGGAGAGGAGCGGGAGTGGCTCCAGGAGCCCCCCACTCCCTGAGGATGTGGGGCGGCGCCAGCCCTGTGGTTTGCCTGGGCCTCCAGTGTGTTTATTTTCCTTTGACCTCAAGGTCTGGCCCCAGACAAGGGAATTTGAGGTTTTATTGTTTTGACCTTAAGTTTCCATGTGAAATGTGGGATCTGATTTTTTTTAATTACCAGAGGACTTAGATTCCTTTGAAAGGGTTCTTCTCCCGCAGCCACCAAGGCCTATGCTGGGGCAGCTTCCTCACAGCTCAGCCTCTAACCCGACAGTGAGCCTCCTTATTACGGTTATTATTATGGTCATGGTTAGTACCTGAGATGATGGTGATAATTATTGTTATCCCAGAATTAAAATTCAGTCTATCCTGACACATAAACCCCCACATTTATAAAACTGTTAAAAGTCGTGGAAGGTTATTTGCATACAAAAGTACTCACTGCTTCACGTGAGCAAACTGGAGCGGTACCTTTGAGTGACAAGCTTCCCAGAGCATTTAAAATACGTTTTATTGCTGCCCTAGCTGGTTTGGCTCAGTGGATAGAACATTGGCCTGCAGACGGAAGGGTTGCGGGTTCGATTCCAGTCAAGGGCATGTACCTCGGTTGCAGGCTCCATCCCCCGGCCCTGGTCAGGGGGGTGTGGGATGCAGCCAACCAATGTGTCTCTCTCATATTGATGTTTCTCTCTCTGTCTCTTCCCCTCCCTTCCACTCTCTGTAAAAATCAATGGAAAAATATCCTCAGATAAGGATTAACTATATACATACATACATAAACATGTATGTATGTATATAGTTACATACATATATATGTATGTATGTATATATACTAGAGGCCCGGTACATGAAATTCGTGCACAGATAGGGTCCGTGTGCCGCCTGGCTGACGATCAGGGCCAATCAGGGCCTTCCTTCATTCTGCGCTACCCCCTGGTGGTCAGTGCAGGTCATAGCGAGTGGTCGAACTCCTGGTAGGTGGAACTCCCAAGGGGGCAATTTGCATATTAGCCTTTTATTATATAGGATATATGTTTTATTGTTTTTTTAAAAAAACACACACAATAATCCATGCATTATTCCCAGGTCAAGTATGCATGCCATGTGTCCTCCCAGGAAGGTCTCTGTGGTTTCTTTGTTGGAGCTGAGCAAAGGGCCCCCTCAGAACTGCCTCCTGTAGAGAGTTCTGCACTTTTGTTCCGGACAGTGGGTTTCACCAGCAGTGGGGCAGAGCTGGCACCTGTTACGTGTCTCCTTGAGTGGCAGGCAAGCTGAGCAGATGTGGGCGGGGGCACTACATGACCCCTTGATGGCAGAGCCCCAGCCACGCCCGCAGGGGGATGCTGAGTGCTCTGGGTGCCTGCCCTCTGTTTCCACGGCCGAAGCCAGGCTGCCTCTCCGCTCCACAGCTCATCCGTCCACTGGCCCGAGGTTCTGGCCCTTTCCTGAGCCATATTTTGCCAACCCCTGTCTTTTTCCAAACTCCTTCTCCATCCCTGCCTGGGAGCCGTGTTCTGCTTTTCTGGGTCAGTGGCTCTGACTCTGAGCCCACTCGGGCCCCTGTCTCTTTGGGCCACAGCCTAACGTATTAGCCCGATGCTTCCTGCTTCCTCGTGTCTTTCCATGTTTAATGGCTTTGAACCCAAAATATCTTCATTTAGGAGCAAAGAAAGAGTTAAAAGTAACTCCTGGGAAGGGTTGGAGGGTTGTGGTCAGGGCAGGAAGATGCTTGCGAATGTAAATCAGATGCCTGCTGTGGAATGCCAGGCCGGGTTTGTTTTACACAATTGAAGCTGCATTTATTCTCTGCTCTTTGTGACTACGTCCATATCAAAACCCAAATGCCTGGCTCTCTGCGCTCGGGAACCACAGCACACAAGCTAGCAATGTGCTGGTGGTTGGCAGACTCCTTAGTTTTTCCGCATCCTCCGGGATATGAAAGAATTCTCCGGGGAGCCTGGAGGTCTCTGCCTCGGGGGGTGCCTGGGATGGGGAGGTATCTGATTCAGGGATACAGTTTTTGTCCGGTCCGCAGGGAATCCTGGCATTTCGGTTCTGCCTGGTCCCCAGCCATGGTCACTGGAAGATCTGACGGTGAGTTGTGCTGTTCCCTCTGCAGGACAGTTCGTCTGTCATCCAGTTCATGACCCGGGCCAAGGTGAAAGTGGACCCTGCCCTGAGGGTGGTGGAGATCGCCACCGGGAACCCAGAGGAGATGGTGGTGAGTCAGCCCCTCCTTCCCCCCCAGCACCCCCACCCGCTGGGACCGCCCTCCTCGGAGGGTGAGGGAATCTGGGTGGCTTGGTGCTGGAATTTGAGGGTAAACATGGTCTCGGAGCCAAGAGGCTGGCTTTGTGGTAGGCCCAGGACCATGCCTGCCTCGGCCCCCGGCCCCCGGGGAGGACTTTGCGGCCTGCTCTTGTCGGGATCGCATTGTTCTTTAGGAATCCATCCTGAAGTGAAGGCTCCCTGCTGTGACCCGCCAAAGGAAAGAGTCTGGAAGGACCTGTGACAGGGCTTGGGTTTCCACGCTGAAGCCAAGGCTATTTTTATCCTCCGCAGACCTTTCCCTGCAACCTCAGCTGCCTCCCCCATGAATTTGCTCCATGGATAAGCCCTGGAGGAAAACAAGTCGTCCGAGTAACTCAGAGAGGACGCATCCAAATCGCCAAGCCTAGAGCCTTCTCTCTCATTCCCGCCTCCCCCTGGTTCTCCATAAAAGGCAGTTGGCTCGCAGGCCACCAGGACGCTGGATAGGGGAGAGGCTGGAGGAGAAGCGTGGCCTTGGCTTTTTGCTGCCTTTTCCTGGGGCGGGGAGGGGAGGCTCACCCTTTGACACCCACACTCAGCTCCCAGGCACCTGGGAGGGGGAGACAGCAGCCTGTGAACTGGTTTTGCCAATGAGCCGGGCGAGGGTGCCACCTTTTTGCATCTCCTTCCCTGGAATTTGCCTTGTGTCAAGGGAGACTTGACCCTCTGACCCTCTCTTGGAAGAGTCAATGCTCCTGGGACAAATTTACAGAAGTGGTATGTTCATAAAAAATTTGTATTTACAAAAACAAAAAAAGGCCCTAGCCGGTTTGACTCAGTGAATAGAGCATCAGCCTGAGGACTCCCGGGTTCGATTCCAGTCAAGGGCATGTACCTCAGTTGCAGGCTCAATCCCCAACCCTGGTCAGGATGCATATGGGACACAGCCCGATGCATCTCTCTCACATCGATGTTTCTCTCTGTCTCTCCCCCATCTCTTCTACTCTCTCTCAAAATCAATGGAAAAATATGGTCGGGTGAGATAGTTAACTTATTTTCTGATAACAATGGAGACACCACATGTCTAAATGTTAGGATGGGATTGGGCCAAAGCCCATCCTATAAGACCCTGGTTGGGAAGGGTCCAAGTAGAAATCAGTCTCTAGGGACCTCAGTGGCGTCTCAGTCCTGCTGCCAGTGGTGGTGAGCGGGAGACAGGCCACCAGCTGGGACAGAAGGACTTCCGTGTGAACCTGTGGATGGTGAGGAAGTCACAGCTGCCCAGGACCTGGCCGATCCGGGCTCAGCGGGGAAGGCCTGTCAGATGCGCAGCTTTCCTCCTCTCTCCACACTGAGGAACCATCCACGCAGTCGTTTAACTAATAGAAAGCAAATGGGATGGGGTGGGGTCACGCTGGAAGCCTTCACTCCAACGGCCCTTTTCCTGGCAGGTGCAATCTGTCAGGTTGGCTGGGGCCTTTTGCTCCCTGCCTTTGGGCCACGTCACTGCTAATTCAGACATTTGCCCGGGATGTGAAGGAGAACAGTGACTCACTGCTCATGGTCATAGCGCTGGTTAGAGAGTCTTATAGAACGACATACACGCCCAACACAAGGGCCTTGGAATGTTGTGATGGGCCACAGTGTTCCCAGCCAAGTGCCCTGGCCGGGGAGCTCAGTTGGTTAGAGCATCCTCCAGATATGCCAAGGGTGCAGGTTCGATCCCTGGTCGGGGCACATAAAGAATCAACCAATGAACGCGTGAATAAGTGGAACAACAAATGGATGTTCTTCCTTTCTCTCTCTTTCTCTTATTTCCTTTCTCTCTCTCTTAAAAAAAATCAATAAAAATTTTTGTCAAGAGCTAATGGAAGTAATTAACAGGTTCCCTACAGGTGGAATCCCTTGTGTAGATTTTTTTTTTTAATCTGTCACTGGGAACAGGGCCCTCGATTTTCTGGAACACTGAGCAGTGTGTGGGATGCAGGAAGACATTGCTGAACATCCTATTGTCGGATAGTGAGTCATCTGAACACCCCCAAAACACCACTTCCATTCCTTACTGTTCCATTGCGAGCGTGGGGGTGATCCTTTCACTATTGAGAGCTCTTTGGAAGAAGCTGTCAATGCAACTGATTTTTTCAGTACTCCCAAGAAGAAAAGTGACACCAGCGTCGCCCACAGTGCCTGCCCCCTTCTCCCGCCTTTCCCGGACTTGGCTTTTTCAATCCAGGAGCTCCGGTGAAGTTCTACCATCTGTTCTCAGCTTTCCTGGCAGGAAAAAGAAAAAATCTTCTCTGAGAAGGAAGGTTTGCCTTTTTAGAACAAACTCGTTCTTTCCTGCGTGATCCTTCCGAATGCCTGGCTCTTTGTCGGTGGTCCCTCTGAGGGGAAATTTCCATAGAGGGCAGCCACCAAATTTCAATCAGGCAAAATCTCACAGGATTTTAGATTAGGCCCCAAATTGTTATGGCTTTGGAATGAACAGGAAATGTGCGTGCAGCTGGTCTTGAGCGGGGTGGGGGTGAGAAGAGGAAGCAATTGTGTGGGTTTTCATTTATCTTTATTGTAGAAAGTATTACAGATGTCCCCCCTTCTTTTCCCATTGACCCCCCTCCACCCTGCGCCTGCCCCTCCCAGGCCTTCACCACACTATTGTCTGTGTCCAGG